ATGGCTTCAAAGCAAGTGTCTGGCCACCAACTCTATTAGGATTTGTGCTCCCTTTAATTAACCAGACGCTTACGGTTACACCCATAGTGCCTTATTTTTCAATAAATCTTCAAGTAGCAGTTCCCAGGTCGACACCTCCCAAAGTCTACCGCACTGCTCCCCTTGCTCCTTCTATGGCACCATCCTTCATCGGCCATGACCTCTGGGAGGAGGGCTCTAGGATTTGATAGTCTAGATCCAAATATGAGTTCTACCAGTGTGTCTTTGGTATGATTACTTAACCTTTTTGAGTCTTTGTCCACACCACTGTAAAAATAGGATAATACTACATACCACGTAGACCTATTATGTGGATTAAATGAAATATTATCTGTCAAGCTCATCCATTTCTTACATTCTTCATCCCAAGCATCCAAATATTATTTTTATATGTCTGGCTCAGGGCAGATGAGATTTGTGCTAAGATAAAGAATGTTCCCATTGTATCCATTTTCCTTGTATGTAAACTCTTGCAAATTTCTATGGTTGGAGCTTCTTCTACAAACATAACCCTGAACAAGACTTTGTTTGATTACCAGATTGTTTGAAGTCTATTAGTCTCAGATGCAGACTAGCTGATGCAATTTGATTTTCCATATAGCAGTTTGGATTTTACTGTCAATTCTGGGAATTTAACCCCTAAAAAACCTTTTTCTATTATCTTCAAAATCTTTTAAGGTAAACTTTAAATGTAAACATTTATGGTATACAATATGATGCATATGTAATCTGGTGTTGGAATGACTCTTGACAAGAATCAGGCCCATACTCGGTTGGATCCAAGACCAAGACCAGAAGATTTGCTCTGCAGGCTGGTGGCAGATGATAGGGTGTTCATTCAATCCATCTGACACTGTTTTACTAACTGAGACTTGTTCATTAGAGTGTGAACCTTCCAGCTGAAAGCAAGGAGTTCACTTTCCTATCTTACAGGCTGTCAGGAAAAGACACTGTCACCCTTTTTTGATCGCCAGATGCATAAAAGCTTTTACTTCCCCCAAACAAAAAAAATCTCATCCCCACTAATTCTTGCTTATTTTCTATTCCTTCATTGTGCTCCTGAGGTAATGCTCTTCTCCTCTGGTTCTGGACCACAAATTGGATGGTCAGTGATTGGTTGCATAAAATCATAGGCCTTGAAGAAAGGAGGAATTTGATCATGGTAATTGAATTAAGTTGAATCATTAGTTTTTAAATATCTTTTCGTCAGACAGAAGGGAATTCACCTACAACCTCAGAATTTAGAAAGTGGAGGCAGAAGGATCGTGAGTTTGAGGCCAGCTTGGACTCGATGCTGTGTTCAGGTGAGCCTGGGTTGCAAAGTAAGGTCTTGTCTCAAACAAAAGAAAATAAAACAAACCTATCTATACATATACATAATAAAAAGCATTCTAGGTGCCAATGCTATGTTCTGTATATCTTCAATTATAAAATAAATGAATTTCCAGTAGCTGGGGGAAAAACTTTAACCCAGAACCTCATGCATGCTAGCCAAGAACACTACCACTAAGTCACATTACCAGCCCCCACGCAAGTGTTGTTCCACTGAGCTAAACCCCCAAGTCCCAAGTGAAATTTTATAAAGTGAATCTTACTTCCATGTGCTTATGTCATCTGGTAGATACCAACACCTTTTATGTTGTTTATTTAGTTATTTAAGGATGAGAGAATCATCCTACCTCATCTCCCTCCCCAATATAAAACTTCATTAGTACAATATTTTTTATTTTCTGTAACTTATGAAAGTTTTCAAATCATTATACCACAATTTCTACTAGACATATATATGTACATATAGATTAAAATCAAAAGCAAAGTGTTAGTTAAGGAAATTCTATTATAAAGCAAAGGACCTCTCTGTGTTGACTGATTGTTAGTTCATCTTTGGTTCTGTCTAGCTAGCTAGCTGAATTATATCACAGTGCTCAGGTGTTTCTGATGCTTTAATTTTGTTCACTTAGTGTTCACAAGCTATTCTGGGAATGCTTAAGCCAACCACCATATAAGATGGTAGACTTGAAATGGAGTGAGTGAGACAGCCAGAGTGGAATACAGTTAGACCAGGCCTTAACAGATAAGATCATCCAAAATACAGGCTTCACGTCTAGTTTTGTATTCTACCCTCTTCTCCTGTGGCCAAGTAATATAAAAATGAGTTACTACCTGGTTATAATAGACATACTTACAAGGGATTTTCTATAAATTTCCTTCTTTTTGTTACAAGACTCATGCTTTAAAAATAGCATTAGTTCTTGATAGGAAATGTTCTCATTACCTTACTCATGTAAATGTAACCGTCTGTACAGTATCTTAATAAAAATAGCATTAGTGTACAAGAATTTCAAAGATGAAGCTACTGATCAAGTATGCAGTAGGAATATGTGTGCCTATAGAAGGAAGTTAGCTTTCTCACAGGGAATAAAAACAGGAGTAGAAACTTACAATCTGGCCTTTACAAACAGAGTCGAGAATGGGGGGGGGGTGAATGGCATCAAGAGAATCTGCACAGGAAGAGTAGCCTCACATTCCAAAAAGAGCCAGATTCAGTTTGCAAATATGGTAGATTACAGGCAGCCAGCTTTCTTGGAGAAAATCATTTTGTGGGATTAAAGTACACAGTAATTCACCATTTGTCAAACTCAGTATTTCCAACTCGGGAAACCCACAGCCACTTGGGATATCTGAAGTTTTATATGTTTCAAAATAGAACTGCTTAAAGTTGGTTGTCCACAAGTGGCAATGATCACACAAGAGTAGAATGACTTTTAAATTTCAAAAATATAATTTAACAAACGAAGCTAAGCACAATTTTTCCTATTTGCTTGAAACAAAGATAACTACCTGTACGATGGGGTACTTGACTCAATACTATAAAAGTATCATGGATTATTTTGTACAGAAAATGTAGAAATAGTTGAGTCAAACTATCTTTGGGCTGAAACAGTAATTTACTCTAAGTGACTAGGCTGAATTGTATGTGTGTGTGTGTGTGTGTGCGTGCGCGCGCGCACGCACACACACACACATATTTACTTCTGGCCTTTTGCTGGTTAATTGGCTTGCTTGCCAGGCTGGCATCTCACTCAGCCTACTGAGTAGCATGGACTATCGGCAAGAGCCACTGGTGCACACTTGGATTAGTATCTATGGTACCAGATAAAGAGAGCAACTTGGTCATATGTGCCTCCTGCCACAAAATTTAACTGTCAGAAAAAAATTAAAATTGGGGAGAACAGCTTCTTATTACTGCAATTTGTTTGATTATACACAGTAGTCTTTCACATGGAACACTACTTGGTAAATAGCTTAGTATATTTCTTACCTAAAAGAAGTGTAATCATGTAAAGAAGCCAAAACAAACAGTTTCACAGTCAGAAAGTCACAGTTGCTACTTTCACTGCCTTGTGCCCCCGGCCCCCAGCCTCTTCTTTCTACTTTGGGCAAGTCCATTGCACAAAACAGGAGGAGTGAACCTGTAGCTTTTAATAACGCAACACAGAACGCTCTTCACAACATTCCTCTACCTAGAGTGGCGTTTCCCCTTTGCACACCCTCCCTAATGTTCAGGGCCTTCCCTAAGTCTGACCCTGTTGGGGAACCATCTCTGATCTCATTGGCTCTGTGCATGCCAGACCTCTCACTGAGGGTCTGGTGCTCATCCTCTCACTGAATCCCTGCAGCAATCAATTACCAGGCAGATGTGGGGTTGGTCAGAGAGGAGAGATGAAGGCTCAGAAAAAGCTCACCTCTGCCTCTTCGATTTCAAAACAGGAGAGATGCAAATGAAACCCACGTCAGCACAGCTGCTTAGTGATGCTCTTATGCACTTCGCTGCTGTTGCTTCAGTGACTGTTCTATAGTTTGGTGCCATTCAGCAGAGTTGGAATAGTAAGTATCTGAACAGATCATCCACTTCTCCAACTTCATTGAAGATACTTTAAGGAGGGGTTGACATTTTGTTCTTCTCTTTTGTTATGCGTCCATAATGTAGAGTTACACACAAAGACCAAATACTTGTACTTTTCTTGTAGGGAGAAGAAAGACTGCAGTAGTTAGGATTAGTGGAAAAGGGAAAGTAAAATATACTGAGTTGAGAATTGGTGGTTCATACCTGTAATCCTACCAGTTCAGGAGGCTGAGATCTGAGAACCATGAGTAAAAGCCATCCTGGACAATAAAAGCTGCGAAACTCTTATCTCCAAATAAACACCAAAAAGCCAGAAGTGAAGCTGTAGCTTAAGTAATAGAATGCCAGCTTTAAGCAAAATAAAACTTAGGCATAGCTCCCAGGTCCAGACCTAAACCCCAGGACTGGCACAAACATATGTACAAGCACCCCCTTCCACAAACACTCCATACACACTCACACACAAAGTATGAAATAGAAGACACCTATTTTAGAGACATTATATTCCAGCCCTATTTTAATGCTTTGTGTTAGTTGCCAAGTCACTTCTTTGATAGAAATAGATTCTTTGTTCCTGAGATTTCTAAAAATTGAGTCATTTAATTATTACCATCCCCACGTCATTCATAAACCAGATTATCCACACATTTCATTTCCCAGTTAATCTTTAGTCCTATTACCTTGGCTTTCTAACTCCAAGCCAGGGCCAATGCTAAATGTTTCCAAGTGGTCACTCTTTAGTGTACTCACTATTTTTCTTAGGAATGTGTCTTCTTAGTTTTGTTTTTGTATTGTTTTTGGTTATTGGCGTTAGTGGAGTTTGAACTCAGGGCTTTGTGCATTCCACTACTTGAGTCCCATTTCCCAACCTGAGAAGGTGTTTTGATAGCTGTGAGCTAACTAACTAAATAAATCTAAAAGAGATGAATTGCCAAGCTTCAAATGGCAGCAGCAATCCTTGGCTTCATGCTAGTGAATGAATAATTATTTTATGGAAGGGGAGGAGGGAAAGTGGAAACTTGTACTTTAAAACTGGACTCAAGATATATATAAAGACCAGGGAGCTTTGAAGTAGAAGCACTTTCAGGGAAAGACTGGTGCTTGTAGAGGACACAGTTTAATCCACTACAAAGATGAAGCTGCTGCTCCTATATCTGGGACTGTCCTTAGTCTGTGCCAACAATGAAGGAGAAATGGAAGTTGCGAAGAACTTTGATCCATCAAAGGTAGAGTCATGGAGTACCTCAACTTCTGATTTTGCTGGGGGAAGGGAAAGTCTTGGGGAAATCTGAAGCCAGGTAAATCCTTTGAGGGCTTAGAAATTCTTTAACATTTGACAAAAGGAGTGGTTTCAGACCTTCAACTAAGAGCAGTTGGACCATACTGAAATGTGACAATGCTTGGGGCAGCCATTCTTGCTGGAGGGACAGCAGAAAGGGGTGTAGGTGCTGTGCCAATGGACCCAAGACCTAATTCCAACTGCAAATCACACTGTAAGTTCTGGTCCACTGATGAGAGTCAAGGAGAAAAGTGTCCATATGCTAATGCTTCTCTTTTCTCAATCAGCTTACTTATTTAATTGCAGATTACGGGGAAGTGGTTTACCATTCTCCTAGGCTCTGACCAAAAGGAAAAGATAGAAGAAAATGGTAGCATGAGAGTTTTTGTGGAACATATTGATCTCTTGAAGAACTCTTCGCTGTTCTTTAAATTCCATACCATGTAAGTATGGCCTTTTTTGTTTGGGAAAGGGAAAACAGAAACCTGGATTTTGTCTTAGACCTCTACACACACAAGTATACATGGAAATAAGTAGAGGCACACACATGTACATACAAATACTTGAATACACATGGACACAGGTGGTGGTGTGCTGGTACATGCTGAACCTGTATCCAAGTCATGTGATACTGAACCAGGACTTGATGGGTCTGGGACTTTGCAAGAATAAAGGGTTGGTTATAAGAACAAATTTATTAGGAATGGGAGAAGGAAGAGATATAAACAGTTGAACAATATTCGTGTGACAATATAGCATGTCTTACTAGTTGTTGATCAAGGAGATGCATCCCTTTCCATATTAATTTTCTGCCTTATGAGTTTGTGGGAGTACCAAGTAAGGTGACATTCATAAAGTATAATTTGAGAGGCCAGCATATGGTGAACACTCAGCTAATGAGCTAAACAAGTGGCAGTGGTATAGTAGCAGTGGGTCATAGGAATAGGAAAAGGTTGTTTTAGTCATTCTTAAAATATCAAATTGAAACTGAGGTTCAAGCAGTAGTTAGCTTTGAGTACAAATGCTTAAGGACAGTGCCCAGGCCTTGAGTTCAAGACCAAGGACTGGCATAAGTGAGGAAGAGAAAGAGAAACAGACAGACACACAGACACACAGACAGACAGACAGAAGAAGTAGTATAAATAAAACCTGTTTGGTATATGTAAAATAGAAGTGGAATCAGAAACTCAAATTATGGTAAGAATAGAGGCTGGGAAGGCAGCTTCAATCATGTATCCAAGGTATTAACTCATTCTGTTTTACAGTGTAAATGGACAGTGTACTGAATTCTTCGTAACTTGTGATAAAAAAGAGGATGGTGTATATACTGTTCAGTGTAAGTATACAAAAAGTCTTTCTAAATTGTATATCTAAGAGTATGGGATTTATTAAAGTACAGTATTTTTTAGGACCTTGACCAATTATTATTACTTATTTTCCTAATATGAGGAGCCCATTCTATTTGCCACATTCTGAATTCAGGGAACATGTGAGCAAAAGTCAATACCTAACACGTAACCCCATCAGGTAAAGAGGGCAACGTGGTCAAAAGTACTGCCCTTGACAAAAATTAGTTGGCAGGAAAAAAAAAAGTTGAGGTAAGTTGGGCAGGATAATTTCTCATTTGTTGAAATCTGTTCGATCACTCCCGATGGCCAATTTCATAGCATGCTACGCAGGCTGTAGCCTCGTGTATGGAATGCCATTGTCCCCAGAGAGACCATGCCACCTACAAAATACTGAGGGACATGGATAGATCTCAAAAAGGGTGATGGAGGGGAAGTTGCTGCTGGGGACAAATACTCTGCTCACCAGTGATCACTTTAGGTAGAAATGTTTTATGAAGCCCAAGGAAATACAAACAGAAGGCATTAGATGTTTTCATCATATTTCTTTCAGAATATGAATTTGCTTTGTTGTGTGGCTGGGCAGAGAACAGGTAAATAGTTTCCATTATTTTCGTGTAATTAAGAAATTCTGAGCTCTATTCTGATTTCTCCACAGATGATGGGCACAATGTATATAGTATAGCTGATGTGGAATATGATGAATATGTTATAATTCTTCTCAAGAATGAGAAAAATTTCCAATTAGCTGAACTCTATGGTAAAGTATTTGCATGATGATACTTATCTGGGATGGAAAAGTGGGGAAATAAAGGAATCCTAGATATTAAATTGTCTTCCCAATGATCTCCAGTAATTTCTCCCCCACTGAAGGCAGATGCTTACCTTTGGTCCTCTGTGATGGGAAGATTCTAAACTCTCTTAGCATGTTAGAAAGATACTCTAATGATGTAAAATTCTGCCTGAGTACCCTGCTGTTGCCACTCTCGTAGATCCTTGCTTCTTTACCCATCTCCATGACCAATATGCAAGACATGCTGGTTACTGTACCTCTGTTTCCAGGTCGACAACCAGATGTGGGAATAGAAATTAAGAAAAAGTTTATGGCATTTTGTGAAAAACATGGAATTGTTGAAGAAAACATACTGGACATGACGGAAGTTGGTAAGCCTATCTACCTCGCTTTTTTCTTTGTGAATTTTATGTCACAAAAAGGGAAAATTCTAGGGAAGGTGATCTGTCTCCTTTGTTGCAAGCTGGAGGGTCATCTGGTTTCTCTCAAAGAAATACAAAAGAGTGGGTATCTAAATGTGTTCTTTCTACCTCAACAGATCGTTGTCTGCAAGTCCGAAGTGACAAAGTAGCCTAAGCCTCCAGGTTGGTGATTCCTAGGCTGAAGGTAGATTGGGACCAGGGCCTTCCACAAGCATATAGGGTTGTTGCCAAAGATTCCAATGAAAATAATTTGCTAAGGAGGCTTATGTGGAGAGTTTAATTTGGATTTGGGTATCCTGGATTCAGGACCCTGTCTTGCCAGGAGTTTGAGACCAAATGACTTCAGAACGTACAAAATGAGAAGAAAAGTGCTATTTCCCTTACAGTTTTGCTGTGTGGATATAACATAGATGAAAAGAGGCCAGTGATTGATAATTTGCTAAGAATCACTAAGATTTAAAATCTATAAGGAAAAGGAATAGGAGTGAATATGAAACGCTAGTGCGTTCACATCAGTGTTTGTGGTCAATCTACAAGACGTAGAGGCATCTCCTGATCCCACTATGATCACCCTGTCTTCCTTGGAGCTCTGCATGCCCTCGACTTCTCATCAGGGAAGGTCTGCCCCCACCCGATTGTCCTCCAATATGGAGAACAGATTCTGAGTTACTTCATCCAGCTCTACTGCAGACTTACTGTGAGACTTTATTCATATAATGTATGTGAAAGTTTTAGCAACTTCTATGAAGTAAGTTTTTAATAAAATTAATAATGGATTTTGCCATTAGTCATTAATATATGAAAGGTCCTCGAAACTTCTTATGCTGAAGATGGCAGAAACAAGCCTCTGATCCTTCATTACTTTCAATTTTTTATAGAATCAGTTGGGGGAAGCTTAAGACCACATGAGCAATAGAAATAATTCATTTACTTGGTACCCTGTGTTCCCCTATCCTGGTAAATAATACAAGTTAGAGGGCCAGGGAATTCTATTTCTTCACCATTTGCCACTGTAATAGAATTTCTGTTTTCTTCAATTCAATTAATGGAATGCTTAGTAAGTTTCCACATTCTGCTTGTTTAGTGCTGAGTAAAAACTTCATTACTTTGGTTCCAGGTTCGCCCCCTTCTCATCTCCAGGGATGTTATATGACCTGAGTTCCAACACACACAACGATTTCATCTCTGCATCTTCAAGATCTTCCCTAATCACCTAGAATGACTTAATCCATCAAGAATCAAGGTTTTCTCCAAATTTCTCTTTGCCATGTCCAGGACAACTCTACTTGAATAAGTTCTCCCTCTTCATGTTCAATAAATATTAACAGTCACGTGATTTGTCTTTGTGTCTGGGACAATGTGGAGCTGAGAATGAATGAATGAGGGGAAACACCAGGCCTCGTTATCCATAATCCTCCTCCAGTGTCTTAGAATCTACATCAAGTTTCAAGAATCTCCTCCAGTAATCCTCTGCTCTCCTGTTTCCAAAAGTTCCACTTGTCCTCATATTTGTCTGCTTTTTGTGACCCAATAAGACAGAACGTATGTAAGACTTGTTCCTAACATCTCTACCCTTGAATCTTTTTTTGGCATGTGTGAGTCAGTTGTGGGGCTTGAACTCAGAGCCTGGGCACTGTCCCTTTGCTTTTATACTCAAGAGTAGTGCTCTGCCACATTGAGCCACAGCTCCACATCTGGTATTCCTTTGGCTAATTGGGGTAAGGGTCTCATGGGTTTTCCTGCCTGGGCTTTCTTCGAACCGTGATCCTCTGCTTTCAGCCTCCTGATTACACATGTGAGCCATAAGTGCCCAGCTTTCTTGAATCTTTTTCTCAATTGGGCACTGACAGACAGATACAATTGAGGTTGATGCCAGCATGACAAAGTATATGACATATTCATGCTAAGAAAGCAAGAATGAAAGAAAGAAAGGCTCAGTAATTATAGGTATAAAAGATAATTCAGCTGGGCACTGGTAGCTCATGCTTGTAATCGTAGCTATTCAAGAGTCTGAGATCAGAGGATCATGGTTCAAAGCCAGCCTAGGCAGGAAAGTCTGTGAAACTCTTATCTCCAATAAACCAACAGAAAACCAGAAGTAGTGCTGTGGCTCAAGTGGTGGAGCACTTGTCTTGAGCTGAAGAGCTCAGGGACAATGCCCGGGCCTAGAGTACAAGCCCCTAGAGTTCAAGCCACACACAAAAAAGAGATAATTCAGAAGATTATCTAGGAATTTGAAGTTTGTATATTTTGCTGCTCCTCCAATTAAAAAGTCTAAATCAAGTACAGGCAGTTAAATCTTACTGAATCAAGAATGTGATCTAAATTTCTCCACACCGGGTGCAAGCCTGACCCTTCAGAAGCTCACACCCACCCCATATGCATAACCCCCCTCCCTCACCCAAGCAGGATCAGTGCTCATCAGTCTGTGGAGAACTTGACAGCCCAATGGCCAAGCTTGGGATAGTTCACCAGTGTGAGTTAGCCTGGGACAAGTGCTTGTCACCCAGCATGCATGAGCCAGCCAATCCTGGGCAAAGAGCCCACAATCTGGAGTTGCAGCCCCCCAGTCGATGAAAAGTAAGTGCCAGCACAGGACTTAGAAGGTGCCAGCCTCGGATACAAGTGAGGACAATCTCTTGCACCACTCTGTGGGAGCATATCCTTCTGAGGCACGTGCCTGTCCCAATCCAGAACACAGGCAGGGACAAACTCCCATTAAAGCAATATTAGAACCCTTAGCCCTCCCATCCAGGGCTCAAATGAAGTCTGAGTGCTGGAACACTGCTCCTGGCCCTTCTGGAAATAGACACAAGTCCAGTACTTGGACCAGGATGAGTCCCCCACTACAACTAGTGGGAATCTGCCTACCCCAGACACAGAACTGTGCCAAGACACTAGACTGCTATATATAACATAAGAGGAACACGCCAGGGGGCCTAAACTTAGGACAGAACACAAGACCCCCTGGCAGACTATGGAATCCCCAAAACTGACCAAGTCACATTACACTATCTGTACCACCCAGAGCTGAACATTGTCAAATCCAAACTCTGACAAAGATCCATTCAGCGAATCACACACCACCACCACACTTCACCACAACCTGAATGACCTCAACAATCCCTGAACCCAAATGTGTAAATCACAACAAAAGATTACCAAATCCATGAACAATCAAGACAACAAACCAAATCCAAGAGCCCAACTACAATGCAGGGAAGGACCCCAATGATAGTGAAGACGAGATGGAGGCCAAAAGAACCACCAAAGAAATGATGAGAGAATTGGCTGATAAAATTAAAGGGGATATCCAAATGCAAATAAAGGAATGCAAGGAGGAAACAATAACATACAAGTCACCCAAAAGATATGGAGGCAGGGCTGGGAAGGTGGCTCAGTGGTAGAGTGCTTGCCCTGAATGCATGAGGCCCTGGGTTCGATTCCTCAGCACCACAAAAAAAAAACAGAAAAAGGCAGAAGTGGCGTTGTGGCTCAAGTGGTAGAGCACTAGCCTTGAGCTGAAGAGCTGAGGGACAGCGCCCAGGCCCAGAGTTCAGGCCCCATGACCAGACCCCCAAAAATAAAATAAAACAAAACAAAATAAACACCTCATTAAAAGACAAAGTTAACACCATGAGAACTGACGCCATCAAAGAATTTGGAAGCATGGAAGTTTCTATTTCCGTATTGCAACCCACAGTTGAATGCCTAGACAAGGTAATAAGTGAAATGGAAAATGATATCTGGAGTTAAGGATAAGCCAAAGAAATTAGAACAAAAAAATCAAAGGTATGGACAAAGCACGCAGAACATGCCAAAGGGAAATCAAGAACTGCAGACTTATCCAAAAGATCCAATTTACTCATAGTCAGGATTGATGAGGGGGAAGAATACAAAATTAAAGGCATTGAAAACTTATTCAATAAAATAATCACAACAAACTTCTCCAATCATAAAAGAGAAAATCTCACCCACCTGACAGAACTCCTAGTAAACAGCATACAGAACTCCTAGTAAACAGGTTATAAGAAGAAACACTTCTACACACATTGTAGTGAGACATTGGACTTTAAAAACAAGGACAGAGAAAGAAATAGAAACAGAGATACAGAAAGAGAGACAGAGCCCTAACTGCAAGTCAGTAGGACTTAAAGAAGATGGCATAACTTCTTGCAGTCTTCAGGAATCCAGTTCTCTCTATGCACTATGCCCTGGGGCAATGGTGTCATCTGCATAGTCATAGCTGACTTGTAAGAGGCAAGTTAACAAAGACCATGGGGGAACTGGAAGAGAGTGAGGGATGAGGTGACATACACCAAAAAGAAATGTATTCTTTGCCTGACTTATATAACTGTAACGCCTCTGTACATCACCTTTATCATGACAATTTAAGTTTATTTTTAAAGACCATGGGGGAAGCAGGGTTTTCTGTCCACTGTAGTCTGGCCCCTGGCTCTAGAAGATTCTTCTTTCTTCATTATGAACCTGACTACTACTCACTTCCTGCATGAACAGGTATAGAAAGAGTAATCTGAGGATTCAAGAGTCATAGATTTTGCTATAGGCTAGGTCTAAATTTGCTTTGGCAATTTTCACTTAGTAGATTTCTGGTGTGTTTGCCTCAAGTTCTCCATTTACAGTTAATCACTTTCCCCAAATCTCATCTACACTCATTTAAGCCTAGGAATTCAGGTAATTCCTAAATTGGCCTGTATGATCTTTATAACAATAAAAACATTAAGAAAAAAAGAAAACAGAAAAAGGAATATACTAAGGGGTTTGGTGGTATGCCGTCAGTAGTAGGCATTTTCTTAGTATATACAAGGCCCTAGGTTAATATCTTAACACACACACACACACACACAGAATGTATTAGGTCTCTCCTAGCATCATTAACTTTCAGAACAACTTGGTGTCATATGCATAGTCATGTTATGCCACATAAATATTTTATGTGACATAAAGAACGGTGCAATATATTGTTCAGGGTAGATATATGTCCATTCATGAAGTGCTGCTTATAATGTGAATGCAAATCTCTGAGGATTTTCACAAACCATAGGCTTATATTCAGTAGTTCTGCTTTCTAACAACTCCTAAGTGATGCCGGCACTTCTGGTCTGTGGTCCTCACTTCCAGTAGAAAGGCATT